TCCCTGGACAACCTGTGCCAGTGCTCGGCACAGCTGTGCCACCCTCACAGCAAAAAAAGTATTTCCTGATGTTCAGAAGGAACCTCCTGTGTCTCATTGTGTGTCCAGTGCCTCTGGTCTTGTCACTGGGCAGCACTGAAAAGAGCCCGACACAGTTCTCTTTGCATCCTCCCTTCAGGTATTTGTAGACAATGGTGAGATCCCCCTGAGCCTTCTCATTTCCAGACTGAACAGTTGTGGGTCTCTCAGCCTTTCCCCACAGGAGAGCTGTTTGAGTTCTTCATCATCTTCCTAGCCCTTCCGTGGACTCTCTCCAGTATGTCAATGTCTCCCTTGTACTGGGGAGCCCAGAACCGGATGCAGCACTGCAGCTGTGGCCTCCCCAGTGCTGAGTAGAAGGGAAAGATCATCTCCTTTGGCCTGCAGGCAACACTCCTCCTAATGCAGCCCGGGACACCATAAGTCTCCTTTGCACAAGGGCACATTGCTGGCTCACTCAGCCACTAAGTGCGCATGGAACATTAACTCCAGAAAAAGGTAAAACTGGGCAGTAACAGGGAGCTGAAGGAGGACTAGGGCAGATATCCCATCAACATATCAACAGAGCAGGTTTCTTAATGTGGACAGGACCACAGGTGAGTCCCCTATATGATCCAGAGAAGCAATTTCTGCATTCCTTTGCTTGCATAGTCTCTCCCTGCCTCTCTCAGTCACAACTGATGCCATTTCTGAGCAATGTGTGTGACCTTTGCAGATACTTCACAGCAGGAACATTTGCTTTATCTCATGGACATAATTTATTTGTGCCTACAGTTCTTTCCACGGCTAGGTGCCAACAAAGGTTATCTCAATGACTTTTGGATGATCCTGAAAAAGATGAATCTTTTCTTTTACACAGGCCCATTTTTAGCAGTTACTGTCTTGTCCCTTGCCATACACACGTGCCTTTCCTCTACCTTGTGGACCATTTTTCCCCCAAACAATTTCAAAAAAAAATTTAAAAAAGGGGAAAAATCCCCTTTCTGTAGAATTTTCCTACTGCAGTTTTGAAAGCTCACTTCTTGAGATGAAAAACAAGCTGTATTCCATCTTTTACTCATCATCTCTAAATGCTTTAACAACAGGACACAGACTTAGGTGGTCTTGGCTCATCAAAAGACCACTTCTTTTGATGTACCATCAGAATGGTACCCAGGGTGGGTCTGCAATAAGGGCAGAGCCTTTCACAGAGCCTAAGCAGCATACAGATGCTGCCAGCAAGCTGAAAAAACACCCCAGTAAACTTGCAAGAAAAATTCCACCTTGCAAAAAGACGTTAGATCAAATTAGTTAACCAAATTTCAACCCCAATGGAATTGCTGCTGCTATTGCACAGAAATATTTTTAATTGTTTAGTTTTTTAAACTCTTGCAATAGTAGTATCACATCTTTCTCAACTCTGGGCTGTCCTGTGCATCCACTACACTAAACGTTTCATTCTCTTTAAGAATGAAAATACCATCTCCATGTCTTCAAGTCAGCTTTACTGCTGACCTTTTGTACACAGGGAATCAGACTGGAAATAACCACATGGCATCAATTATGTGACGAAGTGCCTTAAACATTCTATTTGACATCTACTGAGATGACCTGAACAGCTCACTCATTGCTTCATCATTTCTGATTAATACATTCACCCAAATGCATGCCAGTAAAATTCTTACTGAAACTATGCTCCATTTGCAATATAACCAATATAATGGTGATGTTCACATGATATACTGAGGAGCATGTGACTCCTTAGTATATATATTAGTAATAACACATACTATGACCCTGTAGACCCACCCCTCCTACCTCCTGATCTACCCCTCATGAAATGCTGTAATTTTCAAAATACTGACATGTTTTTTGAGGGGAAAATTGACTACAGCATCACAGCAGTATTTTTTTCTGCCTCTTGGACAGTTTATTTCCCTTCTAAACCTGTAGCATCAGGTAGGTCTGATTTGGTTCTCTCCAAGTGAATTTCTGCAGATAAAAAATCTCCCTCTTCTACTACAGCAAAGGTGGCTGTTTAAGTGTTTGAGCAAAAAACCATGAACCTCACATTCTTGAGAAACAGATACCCAGATGCCATTCAGTGATCCTAGAAGGAATCCAAGTAATTTCAAAGTAATTTTTATCCATAGAAAAGTTATTTTAAGTACTTTTAGAGGATATCTCCCCCCCCCTTTTGGTGTTTTTAATTTCATGTCGATCTCACATCCACAACTTGTTTAGATCTGAGGGATTCTAAAGCAGGATCTCTAAATAAAGCTGTTATTTTTTAAAATAAACTAAAAGTACAAAATTCATGACATCTTTAGTGTCAAAACCACAATATTACACAGTGTAAGTCTGGGGTTTTTTAATTGGAGTTGATATATGTAACTTGTTTTTTTTCCACAGTTATCTGTCAATGCAATCACCACAAAGTCACGACAACAAAATGTCCTCACTGAAGTATTCTGCGTTTATCTCCTTTATACCCAATACTCATATGACAAAAAAAAAGGAAAGAAAGATTTTTTTACTCGAAGAGCATTTAACTGTACTCTTGTGACTTAATATTCTGCTATGTATTTGCAAGACAGAAGAGTATATAAACAATACCACAGCTTTTACTGGCACAAACCTAGTGTGATCATATGATCCCTGCTTGCCTCAAGTATAAACTATAGAGGCCATTTTAAAATGGTGTAACAAGATTTACAGCATTCCATGTCATATTTCCTTCATTCTTAATTTTTAATTTTGGACACTACATTATTTTCAAAATTAAATACCCTCCAAATCTATAGTTGGATAAAAACTACAACCAAGGATCAAGCACTTCATAAACCTAAAGTATTCAGATTCCAAAAGCTGCTTCCAAGATAATTTTCTTCGTAATTTCTTACATGCTGGGGGGCTGATCCAGAGTAAAACGAAATCAAAAGGTCAAAATTCTGGCCCTGGTAAAGTGCAGCAATATAACTCTTACTGATTCAGTAGGGCCAAAATTCCATCTACAAGGATTACTTCCTTTGACCTAAATGTGCTTTGAATCAATGCCTAATAGCCTGTGAGAAGCAAATGTTTTCTTTCATTTGGGATTAACTCATAGTATGCTCTATGCTGTGATCAGATGTTGTTGGGTTTTTATGCCCAATTATAAGGTGATTAAAAAATTTGCAAATTCAAAATGTCCTTCTACCTTAATATTTTTTAAAAATTATTGTTAAGACTTGATTTTAAATGGTTATAACTCACAATATTTTACTTTGACATTTGACATTGACAGCAGAGATGCTTTATTACTGCTCACTGTGGCCAAGATGTTCAAGAACTTCCAGAAACATAATTCCTCTCTCAGCACAAAGAGGAACTCCAAAGGGTCTTATCTCTTTGAGCTTCAACACTGACTTGCAATACCTGTTAAATGAGGTACTTCCAGCACAGGTCCCTCAATTAATATACCAGTAGTTAAAAGCCAAGACATGAAATTAATAATGTCAAGGTTCAAGAGACAGGATTCAGATATAGCATGAAGACACTGTATCTTGACTGCTCCCTGTATCAGGGGCACTGGATGAAGAAGTCCTGTATCAGAGGTACTTCAGAAAACAAATGGCTCTTTAGCCATGCTGACACTGTCAAAATTATCCTGGTATGACACTGCTTCAGTTTAAAAACTGCTTTCCATTTGAGTAGGACTGAAAGAGATTTGGAGATGAAATTTGACCCTGTGCAGCAAAAGAAAAATCTCTGAAGGATTCTCGCTCTTGGATGATGCATCTCAACCAGGAAGGAAGGAGCACCAGCCCCTTACGCCTCTGACTGGTTTGCATCTTCCACCATCAATGTGAGAATAAAAGCTCTCTTGTGCTGCTCTTAGGCTCATCTGACCGTTTAATGAGCTGATCTAGCTCATTAACCTGACAAGGAGTAACTCCTCTTTTTTTTTTGTTTTGCTTGATATTTGCTGGGTTTGTTCCCTAGATCCAGAAGAAGGAAAACAGTGGGAGCATGTGTGCGTGGGTGGAACAGCTCTGCCTCTTTCAGCAGCAAAATTTTTAGGTCAGCCTGTAAAATCTTATCCTGCTTTTCAAAGGTACTGTAGATCTTGACTTAGAAAAGAAAATCCTTCAGGGATTTATTAAAGGAAATTATGAAAGCGCTGTTACTTGACAAGTTGGCTTTGGTGAAGAAACCAGCTTTAAGAAGCACATTTCTCTTCCTGCTCTCCCCCTCACCCACCAGCTTTCCAACATTACCAGCACTGTGTAACTACAATTGTTCACAGGGCCATTCTGCAGGCCAGATCTGAAACTATCTGCATTAAATATCATCTTTAAAGTCACTCTTCAGCCAGACCATCTAATTGCAGTGGTTCACAGAATGGCCTTTCAGCCAACAATAACAGCCAAACAGGCAGTGAACATAAGCATTGTGACCTGCAGGCAAAAATTTTTCTATTTTTAAAGTTGGCTCTGCAGTGAAACCAATGTGACAGACAACAACCCAATCATACAGCGGAAGAGAAGCTGCTGACTGGGGACAAAGTATGAGCAAGAAGAATCTCAGATAATTCTCAGCAAAGAGAATTCCCTCATGGGAAGGAACTGAGGAAGAACAAGCAAACACTGACACTTCACAACATCCCTGAAACACCAGAGAAGCTTTTAGACTCAAGTATATTGCATACATGCATGTAGGAATGGGTACATGTATGCAATGTGTTAACCTCCAAGAAAATCTTCTGTTTTACTCCCAAATAGACTAGTCACAATCAATTAAAAATTCTACAAGACATCTGTAAATGGCTAAAGGCCAAAAGGAAAAAGAAAATCTCAGTTGAAGAACTGCTCTCCCTAAACACTACAGATCTTTTCTTCAAGTATCTGACATTCCTTGCTGGCTGGTTACAGAAGTGATTTTGTAAGCTGAATTCACACAGGGATGAGCTCAAAAGCAGATAATCTTCGCAGACTGCTTACCTCTTTTGCACTTTTAATTTTGGCCAAGAAAGTGTACAGCTCCATTGTTTCAGCAAACAGAGCCCGACATACTGCTTGATAGTGGTTCGGAGCCTCTGATCGGGTTGGCAGGTGGGCAGCACACAGCTAGGGAGACAAATAAATAACAATATCAAAACAATGCCCCATTGCTTTCATTAATGCTACAGAGCGTGAGAAAACATGAAAGTGAATGCAACAGAATATCAAGGGCACAAGGATCCATGAGACATTTCAGTTTAGTCAGAAATTGGGATATATTTTCTAAACTTTCATTCTTATTTATTTTATGAGAAGAGCTCTGTAGGGATGGTAAGGGGACTGGTTGATCACATTCTGGAAAACTCTGAAAACCAAGACATTGCCTTTTCATTACCAAAAAAAACCCCCAAACCTGCTAAACCTGTAAAACTCTGAAAGCCTACTGAAATCACTAATAATCATTCACAATTACTGATAAGCAGTCAGTCCAGAATTGCTTTTAGAGTAAATCATGCAGCTCCCATTTCCAACAAGAGTTTTACTGAGATCGGTCATTACATTTCAAACATAGAACCTGAATGTTATTAGAAACATTCTGTTTCAGGAACATCCAGCTTCTACTACTGTAGAATAGCTCAGCACAGATACTAATAGTTGTAATATCTTTTTTCCCTCAGTCAAATCCATCACCTGTAAGTTTCAACATGGAAATCTCAGCTGAAAACATAAATAAAATAATAAAATAAATAAAATAAATAAAATAATTTGTTCCTTAAACACTTTAAAAAAACCCCAACAACCCAAAGTCAAAACTAGAGTATCCATACCATATATCATACTGGTCTATATATTAAAATAAAAGAAAATCTTTACCAGGGCCCTAAAATTTGCCTTGTTACTGTGGTTTTATAGTAACTATTTATTACATATATAGCTGTAGGTATAGCTATAGAGCTAAAACCAAGAACAAGCCAAAACCTGAGGGTGGCTACATTCAAATCTCCAGAACTAAAGCCTGAGACAAAAGCCTCTTTAGCAGAAGAGCCCTTAATTAGCCGAGTGGCATACTTGTCTAAATCTCTCCTGTTATTACAGTGAATGCTGTGGTTACAAAGGGCACGATGCATGTAAAGCCCAGGCTGTTTTTTCATATTGCTTTCCATTTGACTTAAATCCATACTGCCACTAAAAGGTGACGTCCTGTGGCCTCTAGTTGTAAGCATCCACCGATGCCCTTATGCGGGCACCAGAGTTCATGCCCTAATTCAGAAAGGATTACTCATTTGGACAAAAATTAACAATGTGAAGGAAATGGAGCAGGAGACAATTATTCTTCATGGCACAGATACACTTGTAGTAGTGCAGGCAAAAAGGAGCAAGGAGAATGCACTGCTGCGGTGGGAAAAGGGAGGAAGGGCTGAACAATTGTGTTTGAGTAAAGCCAGACTTAGATTGGTTCAATCTCACTGACAAGTTGCTTTTTGAGGTCATAGGTCCCTCGCTGCCTTTTATTTCTTCCCATTAGAATAGCAGTGCAGAATTCAGTGGTCAGATTTGGTCAACTCCTTTGATAAATTTTTACAAGCACAATTTGGACTCCTGCAATGTCCTGTTCTGATTATTGTATGTACTCCTCTCTCTCTCTCTCTTCTTTTAGTTGTAAAAAAGAATATATATAACGAAAGTTTATATGTGTGTGTATATTTTCATTCCTTCCTATATACCTTCCTTATATGTAGGGAATGCAAGGCAGATGTTCAAGAAATTGCCTCCCTTTCAAATTTTATGCTGTTTTATAATGGATGGGCAAAATTTTCTTACAGTCTTCAAATTTATTTCTGGATAATCACATGGACATAGTAGACAGAAAAACCAAACCAAACAAAATCACCCTTTCTTTTTTTTCTTTCGTCTTCTTTTTTCTCCTCCCCTTTTAATTTTTTTTTCTTTTCTTTTTTCCTTTTTAACAAATCAGATCAACTCCTTTGTGCATAAAGGGAGAAAAACCAAAACAGATGCACCTCCAATGTGTGCAACAGTGACAACACATACCACAAAGAGAGAATCTATTAAATATTTCCCCTAACTTAATGAAAATATTAGAATATTTAAAAGAGTATGGTTAATTTGTATTCCTTTTTCTCAATAATGAATTGTGTCCTTACCTGCCTTACTATGTTTTCAGTAGGCTATTTTTGGTTATTAATTATAGTACAGATAAAAGGGTTTAATTCTAAAATACAACACTTACAAGAATAAGAATAATAGCAAAAGCAATTTCAAAAAAGGTCATAAAATGGTATAAGTCTTCATAGCTGAGAATAAATTTTATTATTATACAGATTGCACACAGGTTTTTAAGACTGCTTTTCTTCTTTATTCAGAAGCATGTTAATTAGAAACAATTTGCATCAAATATTGAGAAAGTTAATGAAATGCAGTGGTGACAAGTTCAAGCAGGGGATGGATATAATCTTGATTCTATTATTGAACACAAAGTAAAGCAAAAAACTTAGTTACAAAAGCAACCACATAAAAAGCTGACCATTTGGTTTGCAAACGTTATGCTGCAGGTATTGAAAGAGGGCCAGCAGCTCCTACTAACTTTCATGTTCTGAAAAATCAGTCTCTGAGTGATCTTATATTATGTGAAGATGCATTACATAATTCAACTCCTCATGGTAATATTAAGTCAAGCGACTTAACATGAATTTTTTTGATTGGGGAAGGTAAGACTGAAGAAAAAGGAAAATGTAAATAGGACAGACTGATTTTTCCCCCTTTCATTGTAATATATTGTAGTTTCATGTTGTTCAGAAGGCCTGACAACCTATAACTTCTGCATGAAAAAATACCACAAAAACTAGGCAGGCAAGGCAAATCAAGCATGAAATGTCACTTCTAGCCTGAGTTCAGGATATTTGTCCACTTTAAAAAAGATTTAAAATCTTTAATTTTATGGTAGTAGTGTTTGAAAAGCTATGTTACTGTAATACACACAAAAATCCCAGTCAGAATTTTTTAATAACTGAGATGTGAAAGGACAGCCACCTAATAAACTCCTCCTCTTACCATGTCATAGCAGTTGTGGTGCAAGAAGGATTAAAATCAGATCTGCAGTCTTTTCCAGTCATTTTGAGTTCATCGAGGAAAGGAAGCCTCTGTATGCTGCTTATTCTGACACTTGCCTTTTCATCCCTCATGATACAACTTAAAACTACCCTAAGGGGAATGAACACAAACAGTGCCCAGAGCTTAACACAAGGGCTGTTTGTTCTGTTTCCAAGAAGTCTCAAAAAGTATGGCTCAAAACAGATTATGCGGTCTTTGCAAACTAGTGAAATAACAAAAATATTATCAACTACTGAAACATTAACATTAACTAGCTCAGTCTGTAAATGTTTCCATTTCCAATAATTGTGAAGAGCTGGGATTTTTTAATTTTTTTTCTCCTCACTGAGCCTATCCAAAACCCCAGCTTGACCCAAAGCATTCAATCTTCACTTAGATCACTAAGAAGATTAGAGGCTGTTTCCATCCACATTCAGGGTTCACAGGAAAAAAAGGCATTATGTAAATATCATAGCCTTGCCAGCTCCTCCAACTTCATCCTCAGTTGACTAGGAAACAGGGTGCACCAAGCCAAAGCAGCACTAACAGGAATCACAATTTAACCATCCGAAGAGATCAAACAGCTTTTCTTGCATTTGCTTGAATATATTCCAGCACGGCCTCCATAAAATTACAAAAAGTACAACTGACTCGCCCACTAAAATGCAGGTAAGTTTTGTAAAACCTTTTAGGCTAGATATATACTGGAAGCTTCATCAAAACACCAGGGCTGCTGGAATTAAGATTTCAAAAGACAAAAAGTGTTTCCACTTGCAACCATCTTGGACAGAGGGACTGTATGAATGCACCACAAAGAAGAAAAGGATTTCTTTTTCCCATGGGCCACAAAGAGAGGCTATTGATATTATGCAAAACATATTACCAGCCTGCAAATGCCAGACTTGTTAAGTGTTTTGAAAGCCTTGGAGTATTAACATAAACTTAAAAGATGTACTTTTTCTTAAGCAACAAGAAGAAATTACTTCAACGAACAGATCACTGAACATGCAACTGTACTAGATATTTGCCTCATCCTTTGCAGTACGGTACTGCAACAGGTTCAAAAAATGCAACTCAGGTTGAGATGCCTTTCCAAGTCAAGGTTATTTTCTGAAAGATTTTATCTCCATGAAGATAAACTAGTATTTATGATTAGGGGTTTTTTTCATATATATGCTTTTTCGCATTGAAATGAACTTCCAAGGAGGCATAAGCCTTACCAGAGAACTCTTACCAAGACAATACCTGCATATTTGTAAAACTCAGCCAAGCATTTTGCTTCGCTTTATTATCCAGAACAACGCTAAGGAATGGGCTGTTCAGAGGAATAAGTGTTTGTCATGAGTTTGTAAGATGTTTCTGCTTGCTAAAACCACCCCTGTGCATAGTACCCACAACTTAGGCACAGGCTTTCACAACACCTGGAGCCAGTTCATCTGCTTCCCAGCAGTTCAGAGCCGCTCTCTCAAACTTTTCATGCAGAGATTTGCCCCTGGCTCTGCCACTTGTAACTGCAGTGAGTCAAGGACTAGCTGATCCCTCTGATAAAGGATTTTAGGGTAATACTACCGAGGTAAGACTGTGATAAGACAAAAGGGATGGGAGCAGAGTTAGCTATTAATCCACAAAATAAGTTAATAGACAATACAGAATGTATTCACAGAAAGTTACTCTTCACCTGTAAAAGCTTGGTAACTTTTAAAATTGGTATTTTAAATGTTCTTTTGCTACTGCCATGGAATGTCCAATTGCTGGACATGTCAGCTCCTGGTTAATTTTACACACCTCAAAGAAAAGGTAGGTTTTGTGGAAATTGAAGCAAATTTCTAGGGTATCTACATCACTATTTACGTGTTCTCCAGCAGTCTGTAAGCCCTTCCCTTCGTTTTGATATCTCTTGTTTTAATCTTGTTTTTCATCGCTTTGAGGTGGACAAGTGAAGAACTACACAGTTATCTACTTACATAAGTTCCAAATTTAATGGTTTAAGTGATCCTCCCCATAAAATGACTTAA